GGACAAAAGCAATTTTTAAAGATAATTTTTCGTGGCCCCCCCCCCAAAAAAAAACCCAATGAGACCAGAACTGAGACCAGAAAGTTATGCCTATGACGATTTTAGGGCCTTTTCTAAATTAAAAATATGACAAATCCTGGAGAAATTGAGAGCAGATGACAAAAATTTGACCCCTGTACATTACAGTGGGTTACTTTCACTTTTTGTCGCCAGGCCCATTGATGCGAATGCGTGCATTATTAGGAATTTATTAGTAAAAAGTCTACATTCTCCTCCTAAACAGTTTTTGGTATGACCGAAAAGTCAGAGTAAGTTGAATTAAAAATACAGAAAAGAGCCTCAGTCAAAACAACCAAGATTTCTTCCGAACGGTTGACGTGGTCATAATAAAACCTGGTAGAACTTGCACATGGGTTCGAAGATGTAATGGATTTTGTGACGTCATCATGACGTCATCAGATATCAAATTACAAGCGATTTAAGGGCAGACTTAGACAAAATACTTTTAACTCTCTCTTACAAACTGAATCTGAGTGTCGTTATCGTTTGTGGCGAGGTGGTAGACGGTGCCTTCAGCAACATTTTCTTCCCGGGCACAAAACCACTTGACCTTCACTTCCGGTGTTATTGGAAGTGCAATGAAAATTGAATTTAACTCGAAAGTGGAGGCATTTTAGTACAGACAAGTAATTTGTGATATTCAGTGTTTAGTGGGAGATGCCAAACACCAAGAAAATAATGATGACGATATCACCGGAAAGGGTGCCCTTTAGTGGCATATAAAATAGAGATTGACTTTTTAAATTTAAAAACCATTTTTTTAAATTTTTAAAAAATTGCCCCGCATATGCTGCATAAACGTTAAATATTCGGTATTGTCAACGTGATAACCTGCACTTAGCTATGAATAAATATGAAATGTTAAAACGAAGGCCTACCTTTCAAAATTGGGATGATATGACCAAGCCTTCCTCAAAATCTCAGATGTCCCGACAAACAAACTCCAAAAGACCTCAGGTCCGGATGAGTCCGAATGACCTCGAGTTTAACGAGCTAAAGTCAAGGCGTGCTCAGGTACAGACGAGCTCAAGTCCGAGTTGAAGTCCGAATGACCTCGAGTTTACTAGCTAAAATCTAGGTGTGCTCGATCAGGTACAAACGAGCTCAAGTCCGAGTTGAGGTCCGAATGACCTGAAGTTTATACTAGCTAAGGTCCAGACGTGCTCATGTACAAACGATCTCAAATCCGAATGAGCTGAATTCAAAGACAAGCTGGGTCAAAAATATGAACCTTACTACGTAACGGCGTCGCTGCTGAACGCTCGGTGCGTTCTCAATTATCACTCTTGTACCATGTGCGCTGCATGTGTAACATTATCTATGGCGTGATCTGCAAAATCGTTGTTACCTAATACAGCTGCATTTATTATCATTTGTTTGAAAATTTTGATTTATGAAAAAGCCGCCTCAATCAATTTACTTCAAAATTTCCACTCAATTTGTTTAATTTACGTGGGCAGCGATCCGCTTAGGAGGGGATGAGATGATATGGCCACTCTGATTTCAATTTTTACTTTTTCATCCGGGACGCAACCGGCAATATTTTACACCTGCACATAAATTGTCTGAGTAATAACTCAAAATATAAATCAAAATGTATGAACATCACTTACAATATCGTTTTTGGAGTCTATATACTTCAATTCAAGGTGCATTGAACAGGAAGGTGATGCGAAAGGTCCCAAGTTCGAATGTCGGGTTTGCAGTGTCGATTATGTGTTCCTTTTATCTATTATTTTTTTCTGTCGGATCTTCGTTCCGGTCACAAAAATCTTATGTCTTCGTGTGATTCGTGGCTCCGGATGATTTGTTGGTTTTATTTTTACTCAAAAAAAATGAAATTTTCTGTTATTTGAGCATTTTGCAGGCCAACAAATGGAGGGTTTAAGAAACAGAAGGTTGGCTGCCGTGCGTTGTGTGATGTCGTAGGCCTACCGTTGTGAAATTTGGAAAGCATCGGACTGAGCTACTTGGGGCGTATGAATACGGTATTTTTTAGAAGGCGATGGTATTTTGGACTACTTTTAGGGGTGATCATTTCTGGATGGATTTTTTTCCCGAAAGTGACCAATAAATCGTAGGAGGTGAACATAATTATTATGGAAGGCTTTTACAATAACTTTACTTTGATGTGTGCACGAAACACGCACGCACTTAAAGAGTCGGGAGTATTTGCCCTGATATATATTTTTTTGTCTAGGATTTTGCGCGTTCCGCGTCAATTTGTATATCATGTGATTGGACAATATTTCACAAGCTGCGTTGACGCGATTCTACCGCGATAGGTCAATTAATGTATGTATGCAGGTATCTGACAATATGGAGAACTAGGGAGCATTTGCTCACTCGCCACTAGTGCAGCTCTGTTTACGTGGGAAGACTGGCTCATATCTAGGCGCTCTCAGCAAACTTTCGTTAATCCGCGGAAAGTATGTTAAATAAACTTACTTCCTCGCATCGCATCATAAAATATAGGTTCTCCTCTTTCAAATGAATCTAATTTCTTCGTGGTTAAAGGCGAATAGTTATGTGCACTACGGGTAACTCAGTGAAAATTTCGCGTTTCCTATGGAGGTCACGGCACATTTTCCCGATTTTTGAGGGTGCGGGTTTACTTCTTCGAACAGCACACGTGTGAACTCGGTCGCATACAATTACCTCGCACGGTTTTTGAAAGATAACACAATAAGCTTTCCATTCATGTAACAACCGTTTTGATTGGTTGAGAAGAACAAGGGGCACTTTTCTTGTCGAATCAGACATCGCTTTTGTTCTGAGGATCGACCTGCTGTTTATGTATAGCCCGGTCAACGCAGTGGGTCTGTGCAGGTCGCCGGATCAATGCACCGTTGTGCGTGACCGCAGAGCATGCAGGGCTTTGATTTTCTGCACATATGGGTGGCAAAGTTCTCCATATGTTGGGTGGCTTGACTAATGATAAGATGTTCATGTTTATGTAAACATGCGGTGTACCACTGATCTCTATATAAAGACTGGGGCAAGTTCGCGCAAGGACTATAGTTAACCATTGGTCGACTAACGCTTGCCCGAACTCTGTCTAGTCGACGATGGTTAACTACGCTAGTCGACTATTTGGAACCAACCTACTGGGGTTGGTTGCTTCGCTGGTAACCATAGCCGCGCGCGTTCATAACGTACAGCAGGGAGCCAGGATCCAGACGTTTTGCAATGACATTTTGACCAGCGTTCGACTACTAGAGACGTTCGCACTTTGCTATTAGTGCACAGGCGTAAGGTACGTCACAAATCAACCACTAGTCGACTAATGGTCCTTGCCCGAACTTGGCCTCGGATAGCGGCAACCTCGTCCCCAGGGTGTCGAGCAGTACGCGCCCACCACTACCTGCTCTCTCACCCTGGTATTGGATCATTTGCACGTGCAAGATTTTTGCACACGTATGCAAATGAGAACAGTCTGGTGCCTGGATATGCGTTACACATTAGCGTTTGTTTTTGTATGCGGTGTCTGGGGTAAAAACATAGTCAATTCGTAGCAGCTCGAGCACGGCGTGAGTTACGATCTTATCAAGACAACATGCAGTATCATATTTCATATTAATATGAGCAAATTGGAAAGGAAATTAGTATTTTTGAGAATGCGTGGACGAATGATCGCGAAAACACGTACTGCACGTTGTGAATATATAGCACCAAGTACACGATAAAAATCCATTACTAGCCAATTGCGGTATCCAATCAGGATACAGGAAGAAAGTTTCCTATCCAGGGTTTACTATTGGAAACGCAGTTGGAAATAAAGTAAGCACTGGGGACGAGGTTGGGATAGCGGATATCCATACAGCATTCACCCAATAGACTTTGCTTATTGACCAATTCGCCCCCGGTCTCACGAAGATGGCTGCGTATATACGAACGTTCTACGCGTTTATACGCGCGCGTTGTATCAACAGTTGACGCGCACTTTAGTCACGTACACATATTATGATGTTCTAAAAGGGACACATTTCCGTAGTGATTATTATTTCCAAAACGCCGAAAAAGTGAACTGCGGCATTAAAAAAGTAAATCACGTCGTTAGCAAAATTGTAAACCTTGGTCAGTGGTGGTGGTCAAAATATAAGTCAAGTGTGCCGCGATGTTACAAAAGAAATCATGTTGTCTATAAAGACGGCGACTTGTCCTGTGTAGATCACCAGCCGCGGTCTCACCGGTCTTACCAATATGGCGTCAAATTCATTCATTGTGCGGCTCTCTATTCGCTATACTATGAAGCATAGTATGAAGCCCGGGAAGGGACAGGGTGGAAATTTTTTTGGGCATTTGCTAATTTGTTCGCACGAATTACTAATTCGTTCGCACGAATTCTTAATTCGTTCGCACGAATTAGTAATTCGTGGGAACGAATTAGTAATTCGTGCGAACGAAATAGGAATTCGTGCGAACGAATTAGCAAACTCCAAAAAAAATTCCACCCTGTCCCTTCCCGGGCTTTATACGGCACCATTTTTACAATGCAATATATTTGTTTTCACTAATTTTTTTCAGCTATTGCATTATGTCTTCTGGATTTCTATTCCAATATAAAGTCTCCATAATATAAGTACAAGAGGGAATGTGCTGCAGCATGTTGTAAATTTTGCTAATTTCTTTAAAAGAAAAAAAAGGAAAATCCCTGGAAATCGCATTACGTTAACAATTTATTTTAGTCTTTTTTTTTTTTTTAATATTTACTGTGTGATGTTATTATTGAACATGAATAATACACGACTAGCGTATCCGTGTACTATTTTCTGTTTAAATATTTGTATTCAGGAACAGAAATCTTGAATCGTTGTACTTGAATAATTGTTACGATCTATACAGTACAAAAAAAGTGAAACAAAGGTGGCTGCATGCGAACATTTTTTCCCGAACTTTTGACGGTACCCACCCCCCTAAAAAAAAAACCTTTCTTTTTTTGTCACACGAGGGCGCACTACACCTTTCCTGCAAATGCAAAATGGCCGACGTACCGGAAAATGCACCTGAACGTACGTAGGGCTAGATTTCACTTTTAATTTTGTGAAGAAAGGAGATTAAGAAAATTAAACTGCTGATCTTGATGGCGTAGATTAGTATGCATTAAGTGTTACTTTAATAATCAAGAATATTTTGATTTTTGCTCTGTACCTCGACCACCGAAACTTGGGTTGGCAAAGCCCTTTTCAAGCGTGCAATCTCACTGTCATGACTGTTGACTTTGTGTTGATAAACAAGCATGACAAGGGCGGATCCAGAACCAAATTTTCAGGGGGCCAACGGGGCTGGGCTTGATTTTTTTTCTCTCACAAACAGGGGAAGGGGATTAAGTATATAGCATTGTGTGCTATTTCCACTAATATTATTATTAAAAATGATAATTGATGGGGAAAAATGAACATTGCAACCTGATGTCACTTCAGGAACTTCAGCGTTTGTGTACAAAGTCAATGGAGAGTCAAGAAATATTTCTTAACAAAATATTTCTTAACAAAATTGGAAATGTTTCTCAGTCCCAGATTCATGTCTTTTCATTTCTGACCTTCATTGAGATGATAGGCCTATATGCAGAAAAAAAGTGGCGTCAGGTTGCAACATTTTTTCCAATTTAATTGGAGCTGGAGTTACTTAAGTAACTCCAGCTCTAATGCTTATCTAATGCGATAAGCATTAGAGCTGGAGTTACTCAAGCTAGGGTTACTCAAGCTAGTACTGTTACTTAGCTTGAGTAACTCCAGCTCCAATGCTCGATCATCAGAAATTTGACATATAAAATGTCGAATTCCTGATGAGCATTGGAGCTGGAGTTACTCAAGCTAGATGTGTAGCTGATGGCCTGACCTTGCAAGGGAGATATGGAGTGTTTAAAACCCTAACTCCCTAGGCCTTTCTGCTAGGATGTAGCCTCAATCCTGCAAAATCCTCCGATTGGCCTCATAGCCTCAATCCTGCAAATTCCTCCATTATTTCTTGAATATGGTCCATGGAGGGGTGACCACTGCCTGAATCCTGCAAAATCCTCCGGCTATGACTTTCAGTAGTATGAGGCAGAGGCAGTGACATCCTGGAGCAGTGCAGAATGTCAAGTATAATCAAGGACTAAATTTATGCACGGCTGAGCATAAACAACACAAGGTCCGGCCCAAGACCTTGACACAGTGCGTACTCCGAAATCAGCAACGCACTTTGGCCATGTAACCTCAATCCTGCAAATTCCTCCAATTTGCAAAAAGGATTTTGGAGGATTTAGGGCGGTTGATTTCCTGAAAATAAAGAGAATTTTTTTGGGGGGGGGGCGGCATGGCCGAAAGAATGTTGCCACGTTATGCCACTTTTTTGTCTGGATATTACATTTTTTTTCGTCATGGCCCACATTGGCACCCCCCTACCCCTGGATCCGCCAATGAAGTGCCTAAGGTGCTATAAAGCCCCTGCACCATGCCCACAGCAGCCGTTATGCAATTTTCAACAGCTTTATTCAACGGCTTTATTGGATGCACCATATTGAACTTAATTGTGATTTGGAAAGCCTGAGCAGAGATTGGAATAGATTGGTGCCTAGATTGGCTCTTTTAAAGATATAGTCCATCATTTCTAATTTGTGCATTTTGTTCGTTTGGAGCAACAAAAGTGCTCAAAATCAGCTATTCTGATGAAGTTTCAGCTCAGCTTCAGCTGTATATTCCGAGAAAAACAGCATTGTAGGATCTCAATTTCAAATCAAAAGTTGCTGAATCATGTTTTGAATTGCGCCAGAATTCAGCGTCCGAGACACGTTCTCACTGAGCCGATTGCAGCTACGCGATGTCGCGCATTGATCCGACGAATTATAGCAACTGGGAGTGCGTGTGCGTCGTGCCAATGCTTGCGCGCGCTTCGCGTCTTAAGAAGCACCATTGGAAAGGCCCTCTTTCGTTGATTACTTCAAAATGACAGCTTGCCAAAAAGAATAATTTCACAGGGAGTTTAGTCCCCTTACTGTCTTTCAACCAAGTATGTTTTTCAACAATAATTATGCCAGTTACTTTTCGGATAGCTGCAAATGATGGACTATAGCTTTAAAAAGAAGTTCAAAATATTATTAATTTGGGGGAAGCTTTCAGGAAATCACTACTGATGTTTTTCTGCTATTCACCTCTGTAAATCAGAGTTTCTTTCGCCTTTCCTTGTATGTGTTTTGCATTTTTGCAGATTGCCCAGGAACACAGAGCGAGTCAGCCGGCAAGGTCTCGGCATGCCAAGGCTGCCCTAATCAGAATATATGCGCCAGTGGGTTGCCCCAAGCACCAGATCCTGGTAACTTCTGTTTACTGATAGTCGGGCACAGGAACCAGTTTACTGATAGTCGGGCACAAATAATTCAAAATTTGCAAAGTAATTACATGTATTTCATAACTAAATGTGGGACAATTTGTTTTGGGCAGTGTCTCAATCAAAAATGAATAGATATTACTAAATTTTTTTTTTCAGGGTTGATTAATTTATTTGTATAAATACTCATCCAGAGACACTGATGATAGCAAAAGAAAAAATATCAAACAGAATTTACATTGTGTACACTCTCTCATTTTGCCAACTGGCATTAACCCTAACCTCATGTAAAGCTACAAAATACTACTTGCAGTAAACTGTAGTATGAAATGCTTCAACGTATAAGTGTGCACAACACTCATAGTATTCTGTAGTACTCAGTTATTTATCCCCAAGTTATGGCTAGGACATTAGGGTTACTACAACATTGTTTTGTAAAATTGCAAATTCATGCTTGGCCGCAGTTTTTTGCTCACCTAAACATCAATTTGGTGTATTCTTTGGACCTTTCATGTGGTTCTGTTCAACTGATGACCAAGAGTTAACACTTTACGCCTTTTCACACTGTCCAAAACCACCGGGTTGGAACCGGTTCCAACCCCGAGATTTTTTTCAACCCCTTTTCCCACTTCTAAAATTTCAACCTGGTTCCGACCCGGGTAGCTTGCTCTAGCCGGATCGAAATCAACCCTGGGAGGGACCAGGGTTGAAAATCTCAACCCGGATCGAAATTGCATTTTTCGGCCTGAACCGTGTCGAAAATGATAGTGTGAACCGCCCCGAGTTGAGTTGAGGCCGACATTCTACCGAAAATCTGACACGCCGGGCATATTTCCCTCCACCATCATCGCCATCACAAACACCGATCACGAAACAATCGCTCCGTAATTATCATCCAACAATGTATCGGAGTATGGAGCATCCTTTACCGAGTCTGGGCTTGTATTAAGTCCGCAAAATGCACCCAAAAAAAGTACATTTCTAACGTTAAATAGAACGAATCGTCTAACAAAATGACCGGAGCCATTTTGGAAATATTGCACACAGCTGCGCTGGTGTCATACATGGAAATCGGACTCCCATGAAAATCGGATTCCTTTACTCTCTTATTGGTCAAGCCCTCTCACTTGACTGGTCCTTTTTCTAATTATCATACTTAGGCATGCGCAATACTACCAATGAGTCCGTATTTCACAGAGTAGTAAATTCACGTTGCACACTGGTCTGTGCATTAGCCTCGTGCGCGCAGCCGCGTGCGTCGCAATGCATTATGAGATTGAGAAAATCATCGCAGCGCCCTCTGCTGAATGCAATCCTTGTCGAGAATTTGTAGTGTGAATTCACGGGGGCCGTAGCCGGATTGAACGTTACACTGTTCACGTAGCGGCCGTTCCTGTAAAGGACAGTGTGAACGTCGCGTCTCTCCGATCCGTGTCGAAAAATACTCGGGCTGAACCGGGTTGGATCTGGATTGGTTTCAACACGGTTCGAAATGGAGATAATAATAATAATAATAATAAAAAGATATTTATAAAGCGCCAACTTGCCATAATGGCCTAAAAGCACTAGATACAAAGATAAAAAGCAATTACCAAAATACAGCATTACAATACAGAGGGTCTCCGTAGAAATTTTTTTTAAAAAGATAATTACAAAAATATAAGATAGTATGAAAAAAAGATAGTGTGAAAAGGCCTATATACGTGTGTAACATCTGCGTCAAATTCACGGACATTCATACAGTGGAACGTCGGTGTACCGAACACCGCTAAACCGAACATTCGGCTATACCGAACATCATCCTTGGCTCCCAATTTTTGAGTACAAAACGTACCGAACATTGTCAACAGAAGAGCAACAAGTGGCTGTAATTATCACAAGGAATAAAAGGGGAAAGCCCCCCGTGTAATTTCATGATTCAATAGTCACACGTGTTCAAAGTCATCTTTCAGTAAATACCAGGGTAACAATAGTCAAAAGAGGCCGCCACTAATGTGTGAAAACCACAAGTTAGTAAGTATTGGCTTAAAATCGCTATACTAAACGTTTACTATTACGAACAATTGATGTGGATCCCGCGATGTTCGTTATAGCGACGTTCCCCTACACTTGCTTTTAATTTTGATGGGTTGCCAATTTCCGATATTTCCTTACAGCTGTTGAGGAGATAAAAGAGCGAATGTCCTCCGTCAAACACAAGATCCTTGTACTGTCAGGCAAAGGCGGAGTGGGTAAAAGCACCTTCACAGCCCATCTCGCCAGGGGTCTAGCCAGAGATGAAAATACACAGGTATGTGACCTTTTTGGAAAGGGGGGGGGGGGAGTGGGGAGGGGGAGGGGGGGGGGGGGAGAGGGGGATTATAACTTTTTTGACATTCTGTTCAAATCAAGAGTTGAATGTTGGCCATCCCGTCACCACTCAAGGTAAACACCCTGCACAATTTTGGCAGAGGGTACTCCCCCCCTCCTTGTCCCTATAACCCATACACACTCTAGACTGTTACTTTAACACATGTGTCCGTAGATGTCTCAAAAGAATTCCTGAGATTCCGGGGTAACAAGACCGATGCTCTTTTAATACCACTGTCTGATGTAACAGCAATTTGGCAAGGTCCGGTTGAGTTTTTGTTAACGAGACTCGACTTGTAGTCCTCTTTCGACCTGACTGACTGACCGACTTGACTCAGTGACGGAATGGCTCCCCGACAGACAGACAGACTGACTCGCCGACTGACCGACAGACTGATTGACCGACTGACCCCCCGACTGTCACTTGTGGCTTGGCCTGGTTTTCGGCTGATGAAGAAACCCGGCAGTGCAATTTTACAAGAATACTCCATACTACAGGGGCTAAATCTGGCCCATATTTGACATAAGATTCATAGAAAAAAGTTTCCTGTGCAGAGCCTTTCTGAATAGACTTTTGCCCGCTCTAGGCTTTCCTTGTCTTATTGCGTGGGGGAGTTTGCCTAGTGGTTAGGGCTTGTGACTCACGATCACAGGGTCCAGGGTTAGAATAAAGTCGCGGGCCATATGTTGTGTCCTTGGGCAAGCCACTTCATCCCCAATTTGCCTCTCTTCACCCAGGAGTATAAATGGGTACCGGCATTAGCTGGGGAGTAACCTGCGATGGACTAGCACCCCATCCAGGGTGAATAGAAATGGTAAACATGAGATAAATGCCGGCCTGATGGGCCACATTGGCTCTTGACAGACTTTACTTACTTTTTTTGTACTTATGTCTTGCTTTATTTCAATTGACAGGTAGCAGTGTTGGACATCGACATTTGTGGTCCATCCATTCCTAGAGTCATGGGCCTGGAGGGGGAGCAGGTTCATCAGAGTGGGTCCGGATGGTCACCTGTGGTAAGGCCTGACCTCAAATTACAATCCCTTCCATTCCTAGAGTCATGGGTCTGGAGGGGGAGCAGGTTCATCAGAGTGGGTCAGGATGGTCACTGGTGGTAAGGCCTGACCTCAAATTACAATCCCTTCCATTTCTAGAGTCATGGGCTTGGAGGGGGAGCAGGTTCATCAGAGCGGGTCCGGATGGTCACCTGTGGTAAGGCCTAACCTCAAATTACAATCCCTTCCATTTCTAGAGTCATGGGCTTGGAGGGGGAGCAGGTTCATCAGAGTGGGTCCGGATGGTCACCCGTGGTAAGGCCTGACCTCAAATTACAATCCCATCCATTCCTAGAGTCATGGGCCTGGAGGGGGAGCAGGTTCATCAGAGTGGGTCAGGATGGTCACCTGTGGTAAGGCCTGACCTCAAATTACAATCCCTTCCATTCCTAGAGTCATGGGCCTGGAGGGGGAGCAGGTTCATCAGAGCGGGTCAGGATGGTCACCTGTGGTAAGGCCTGACCTCAAATTACAATCCCATCCATTCCTAGAGTCATGGGCCTGGAGGGGGAGCAGGTTCATCAGAGTGGGTCAGGATGGTCACCTGTGGTAAGGCCTGATCTCAAATTACAATCCCATCCATTCCTAGAGTCATGGGCCTGGAGGGGGAGCAGGTTCATCAGAGTGGGTCAGGATGGTCACCTGTGGTAAGGCCTGACCTCAAATTACAATCCCATCCATTCCCAGAGTCATGGGCCTGGAGGGGGAGCAGGTTCATCAGAGTAGGTCCGGATGGTCACCTGTGGTAAGGCCTGACCTCAATTTGCAATCCCTTCCATTCCTAGAGTCATGGGCCTGGAGGGGGAGCAGGTTCATCAGAGCGGGTCAGGATGGTCACCTGTGGTAAGGCCTGACCTCAAATTACAATCCCTTCCATTGCTAGAGTCATGGGTTGGGAGGGGAAGCAGGTTCATTAGAGTGGGTCCGGATGGTCACCCGTGGTAAGGCCTGACCTCAAATTACAATCCCTTCCATTTCTAGAGTCATGGGCCTGCAGGGGGAGCAGGTTCATCAGAGTTGGTCAGGATGTTCACCTGTGGTAAGGCCTGACCTCAAATTACAATCCCTTCCATTGCTAGAGTCATGGGCCTGGAGGGGGAGCAGGTTCATCAGAGCGGGTCCGGATGGTCACCTGTGGTAAGGCCTGACCTCAAATTACAATCCCTTCCATTCCTAGAGTCATGGGCCTGGAGGGGGAGCAGGTTCATCAGAGCGGGTCCGGATGGTCACCTGTGGTAAGGCCTGACCTCAAATTACAATCCCTTCCATTCCTAGAGTCATGGGCTTGGAGGGGGAGCAGGTTCATCAGAGTGGGTCTGGATGGTCACCTGTGGTAAGGCCTGACCTCAAATTACAATCCCTTCCATTCCTAGAGTCATGGGTTGGGAGGGGGAGCAGGTTCATCAGAGTGGGTCAGGATGGTCACTGGTGGTAAGGCCTGACCTCAAATTACAATCCCTTCCATTCCTAGAGTCATGGCCCTGCAGGGGGAGCAGGTTCATCAGAGCGGGTCCGGATGGTCACCTGTGGTAAGGCCTGACCTCAAATTACAATCCCTTCCATTCCTAGAGTCATGGGCCTGGAGGGGGAGCAGGTTCATCAGAGTGGGTCCGGATGGTCACCTGTGGTAAGGCCTGACCTCAAATTACAATCCCTTCCATTCCTAGAGTCATGGGCCTGGAGGGGGAGCAGGTTCATCAGAGTGGGTCCGGATGGTCACCTGTGGTAAGGCCTGACCTCAAATTACAATCCCTTCCATTCCTAGAGTCATGGGCCTGGAGGGGGAGCAGGTTCATCAGAGTGGGTCCGGATGGTCACCTGTGGTAAGGCCTGACCTCAAATTACAATCCCTTCCATTCCTAGAGTCATGGGCCTGGAGGGGGAGCAGGTTCATCAGAGTGGGTCCGGATGGTCACCTGTGGTAAGGCCTGACCTCAAATTACAATCCCTTCCATTCCTAGAGTCATGGGCCTGGAGGGGGAACAGGTTCATCAGAGTGGATCCGGATGGTCACCGGTGTTAAGGCCTGACCTTAAATTACAATCCCTTCCATTCCTAGAGTCATGGGTCTGGAGGGGGAGCAGGTTCATCAGAGTGGGTCCGGATGGTCACCTGTGGTAAGGCCTGACCTCAAATTCCCATCCCAGATTATTTGAGGAAGATTCCAATCGGTATGTTGAATTATTAAGGAGGTGGGGTTCACAAAGTTGAATGGATCTTGCCAAGAAAATACTTGAGAACAATGAAAGCATAAAAAAAAATCCTACTTAACTTCTGATTACGTACCATCGTCTAGTACAACCCCATTCATTTCAGAGAATACAGTTTTAAAGTTGACCGAAGTATTCCTTGTGGATTTTTTTCTTCTTCTTTTTTTTGGCCAATTGTACATCTCAAAAACAATTTTTTGCCTTTTTGAATGAGCAAAAGGAAAGCAAACACTAATTTGTGACCTTGTGTCAACTTTTGAAATTGCTATTTTGCAAAATGTGAACGCATTTCCAATTTTGGAGTGAATGTTTCGTGGAGTCAACATGTTTTCTTTGATTCTTGTGAAGTACAAATAGGACATAAATCGTCTTGGATGTGCTTTTATTGGTTTTTCTTACTTAATGTACAATGTTTAATTTTTGTCCGAGATGCTGATGCATTTAAAAACAAATTTTTTTTTCTCTCAATTGTTCTCAGTATGTGGAAGACAACCTGAGTGTGATGTCTGTTGGTTTCCTGTTGAGTAGCCCGGACGATGCAGTCATTTGGAGAGGTCCCAAGAAAAACGGTAATTTATTGTTTCACTCGGTACCAGTGTTGCTAGTCGAGTCTGTCACAAGTCCCTGCAAGTCCTCACAAGTCCTCCAGTCCCAATTCCAGTCACCAGCTATTTAGGTGAATTGTGACAAAGGCATTCCTTTGTTTATATTGCTCATCCACTGTTCCTTGTGACTGGTCTGTGTGATAGACTCAACGAAACACTGCTCGGTACATTCAGTTTAAAGGTAGAGTAGATCGTTTGCAGCTATAAAAAAGTAACTGACCAAAGTATTATTGAAAAGCTTACTCGGTTTTTAAAAGATAGTAAACAGTCCTGTTTATTACGTCACGATTTACTGTGTTTTGTTTGCTGCCCGCAACGACGACTTTTACACAGTTGCACGTTCGGGTCGAAACTGGACCTGAAAAACAGCTCTCAAAAGTACCTTTTGTACTCATTTCATGACAGACACAATAGTCGTTTTTATTTCATCACACCTTAGGCTACATATACCCGAAAAATGACGGAAATGTCTTCGAGCATTCCACAACCTCTTTAATATATTGTCAGCCCCTCATCATTATTATAGGTCTCATCAAGCAGTTCTTACGAGATGTAGACTGGGGTGACACGGACTACCTCATAGTGGACACGCCCCCAGGGACCTCAGACGAACACCTGTCCATTGTGCAGTACCTCAGCTGTACCAATGTGGACGGTGCTGTGCTGGTAACGACACCGCAGGTAGGACATTGGGCCATTGGTTTATATACCTGCTCATGCTTTTCAAGATCCACACCGAAAAATACCCACCAACGATTCACGATTGTTACAATTGTATATAAATGTAGCCAGCCTCGCTGATCTGACGGTAGATAACCAGTGGCCAGCTGTGCGTGACATAGTTGAGCAGTGCGTCTTTCGTAAGATGAAACACGTGGTTGGGGCACTAATTTAGTCCATGGGTTGGTCGGCGGGTCCAGTTGGGATCGTATATTCAGGAATATTTCCTTCAGTCACTCCATCAGACTTTCACTCTGTTGTGAAATGTTGCACATTTCCCTTCAAATACACAACACTATAAAACATGCATGTGTAACTCTACTTTCCGAGACGTCTTCTCCATTTGTTGAGCATTTTAACAAGTTAAATCACTATCCATCTTCAAGTATACATCGCCTGCAAGAGATGAGAAAACATCTTGAAAAGTCTCTTTGTCAATTTCAGTGTGGCCGATGTTTCTTCGGATATTATCTGAGCAGTTGCCATTATCCACGGTCGTCACTGCACAGGTCTATTGTACTACCGTGCTGTGGGCACTCAACGTGACCATTTCATTGTGCTATTGTTAGGCAATTTCAGGCGTGATCCCGCGGTCGGAACGGGGCCTGGGCGAACGCCCGGGGGGATTAGGAACAATAGGCCCGTTCCTCCCGTGCGCTCGTGTCGGAACGGGAAAAATCCTTTTGTTATCCTCCCTTAGTTTAATAGTGGGAAGAAGGGGTTATCGTTCACCCTCAGAAATCAACATCTTATTCATGTCTCTAGGTCAGAAAAAAAATGCGTCAAAAATTATTTGCTATGTTGAAAAATTAAAAAAAAATCCCATGTATTGATTTATGCAAATTAGTGCCGCCATTACCCAAAAATCAATTTTCCATTATATCTCAGCCAATATTGCAGATAACTGACACTCACTCAGGCGAAGACACTACGGGTTTGTGCAGATTTAGAATACAATTGTGACCCGCTCTGCAAAACATGAGGCTGATGTCGCATAATTTGAACTCAAGCTTTGGCCGTTTTGCAATGGAAACAGTGAAAATTTGATCAGAATTTTGATGATTTTTTGTAATTTTTTTTTATTTTGGTTGTTTTATGTAGATAGTATTAGTTTAAATATCTTACAAGGAAATTTAAATATTGTACGAAAAATAATAACAAAATTGTGATTTTTTGTGCTTTTCTTGGTTAGCTACAGTATATTTGTCATTTTGCAAACCCTTTTTTCTCCATTGAGACGTTTCTAGCTTTGTAAAAAATGGCCAGAATGAAACAAGCACAACAATGCAACCAAATATCCCAGAGAGGTCCATGACATACCAAATCAAAGCTGACTTCATTCCCATTTCATTGATGTAGTTAACTCAAAACGTGAGTTTTGCCACAACAAACTCATTTTTGCAGAGCAGGTCACAATTAGTCGCACGTACTTTGCGGCAGTGTGTGCCGTATGCTGGTAATTGAGTACACGTACGTGACGTGTTCCTCCCACTGGGGGCTGTCACAACTGGTCACAAAGCAATCATCATCAAAAGAAGTAACACACTTATGTCTTAAGCCAAATAATGTGAAAAGGGCTACATCTTAACTTCAAAACTGCATGAGAGTTCTTCAAAGATTTAAGCTGACCAAAATCAACTTTTACTTGAACTATAAACAAACTTTCAAAGAAAACTGAAATAAGGTTCTAAAGTAATTATGCATGATAAAAAGAGGACACATTTAAGACAATAGAAAACTCACCAAATGACTCCAACAACAGACTTGAACCCAAGCAGGACAGCACTCCAGTTAGGAGGAAAATATATATGCATGTATGACTTGTCTCTGCTGGTCTGCTGGATGAACTGAATTGTGGCTTGACCATGTGGCAGCTTATAAAGGGGGCACATGTGGGCTAAAATAAACAAACAGGGGGAAACACTACCAACAAAAGGGGGGAGGGAGAGACATCTAAACTGAGACTAAAATGGTTTTCTATATCTAAGGGGAGCTACTCCTATTCCCAATACACTATACATTAAATACAAGAAAAAAATGCAAGATAAATTTGGCCCTTGCCACACACGCAGCGCTGGTAATGGCCCCATCAAAATTGGGCCCTTCTTGCCGCTTTTCTGATGGAAAGGATTGATTTACCATCATCCGTACTACACTGGGATATCTTGGGAATTCTCGGGAGTTTTACTGCCAACATCTTGGGATTTTCAAATTTGATGAGTGGCCACGCTGAAGCCACAGACATCTCAAGATGGCCATGAGCTTTCCAATAGTGCTATACAGGGTGTTTCAATAAAAAGGAAACCCAAATTCAAAGAATAAGTATGGACAGACGATATGTTTACTGGCTATAAAACTGGTATCATCTGAAAGCGTAATCTCTATGCTTTTCAATGATACCATCTTTAGGTTTTCTGAGTCATGCATCACTGAGCATCATTGTCTTGAAAACTGGATGCAAAAATGCAGTTGGTTCACTTTCATAAAAAACCACTGGGCACGGTGTGCCTATTGTTATGGAAATGTCTGAAATGGCTTGAATTTTAATCCTCGGGAGTTTGGCAAATTCATGACAAACAATAAAATCCAGTTTTGAAACCAACCTGACTTGTTTTTTTTTTGGTTTCTTTTTATGCACTCGTGTCTTCTTCTTTAATACTTATTCTCATGCACACCATGCTTATTGTGTTTGACATGAAAGTGAACCAACTGCAATTTTGCATCAAAATCTCATGACAATGGCGCTCAGTGATGCATGACCCTGGAAATGTAAACAAGGTATCATTGAAAAGCATAGAGATTACGCTTTCAGATGATACCAGTTTTATAGCCAGTAAACATTTAGTCTGTCCATACTGGTTCTTCAAATTTGGGTTTCCTTTTTATTGAAACACCTTGTATAGTTCCTGCACGGATTCCGTAAGACATCCGAGATGTAATCAGTGTGGAAAATAATGACAGTGGACGATACGGAATACAAGTTAAATCTAAAATAGAACAGTGAATATCGACTGTAACATTAAAAGCTTATTAGCATGTGACTCACATTTATTAGAGGCTTGAAGGAAACAAGAGAAAATCCTATTTAAACAGCGAGACTTTTACACTAAATAAATGCATGACTTAAACGTGTACAGTGTTGTTTTAATTTAAACTCCTGTAGTACGTGTACATAGTTTTTAGCTATAAGGTCTATTAAACGGAATATACTGCTATAGCCTTTGCCTTTTATACAAACAAGATTAATTACTAAACAATGGTAAACTTTAACTGAAAGCAATGTTAAGGCCAAAAAACTAATAGTTCTGCTTCCGGTTACCCTACCGACCCTATTTTGACAGCCCCTACCCTAATTGTTTTTCGGGAAAAAATGAGGAAAAAACCCGAAAATCATCAATTGCTACCCCTGCGCAGACACCTCCATAAGATTGTACACACAAAAATGCCCCCCCTCCCAATTTTTTTCAAATGCCATGTAATCAGAAGCAGAACTATTCTTTTTTTTAAGCCTAACGTGAAGAATAATAAGAAGCAAAAGTGTGATTGAGGTTTTATGGTCAAATAATACATTACACTTTTGAAGGGCAAAAAAAAACCCATGTAAAAGTTTTACCAGTAAAGAGTTAACAAGCTCGCACTAACTAGCCCAGGAATTGAACAACCTTTTTAATTTTATTTTAACTCATGGAGGCAGCTTTTATTGGTCAATTTGCAGGAAATTTCTCTGATGGATGTTCGCAAAGAAATCAACTTCTGCCAGAAGGTCAACCTTCCCATCCTGGGTGTTGTTGAAAACATGAGTGGCTTTGTCTGCCCCAAGTGCAAGGTGAGTACACTTTTTTAAAGTTATTAAGCAGTGCTGACCAGGAGTACTGGAGCTGAAATTTCGGCCAGACTAGGCCTTCATTGGAGCTGGGAGTTGGACTGGGGGTTGAAACGCAGAAAATTCCACATTCAAACGGCCTGGCGTGAGCGTTTGAATGTGGAGTTTTCTGCAGTTTTAATGTAGAATTTTCTGGGGTTTGAATGTGGACTTTTCTGCATTCAAACCACCAGTTCAACTCCCAGCTCCGATGAAGGCCTAGTCGGCCGAAAATTCAGCTCAAAAATTCCTGGTGAACACTGCTTGAACTTATTTTCTATACCCAGCACGATATGAGATGAAGGGGTACCGCCCTCCCCCCCCCAATCTCTCTATACCTTATGCAAACCCTAGAAAATTGTTACCTAATACATCCCCCTAGATATCTTAAAATAATTCCTGAGATTCTGGTCACACAATGACTAACACAAAGGAATGGGGGGTTCCCTCTGTGTCATATCGTGCTACATATGTTATATTCATTCTATGTACTTATCTTCAGTGCTGCGCAGTTCTGCTTCATTTTGTACGATACACTTTTTTAACGTAGATTCCTTTGATAGGTGGACAGAGCGTCCATATAAAGCTTTCACCAAACTAAAAAAGATGAATGGTCTAAGGACGTGGTTGGCCATCAGCCTGGGGGTTTGGCCAGTATCAAATCAGGGCATAAATGATTATAGTGCGCATGCGCAAAGGTATACCGTTCCTAGAGTGGTAACAAGCATTTTGATGGACATTTTGAAAAAAAAGGTGATAACACCCAAAAAGCTGCCACCGTTGCAATGTTATCACATATTTTCCAACTCTGGAGGTGTATACCTTGCCAAAAATCGCTATGACGATTATTCCCCTCATTTGTTACCGGTGGCCAACATTTTGGACCGAGGCTGATGGCCTATGGCATTTGCATGTTTAAACGAAAACAATTTTCAATCCGTTTACAAATTTTCCCAAAATGTTTTTATTAGAAATTCGACTTAAAAACAAAAGGGACCTACCGGTACATTAAAGAGGTTGTGGAATGCTCGAAGACATTTCCGTCATTTTTCGGGTATATGTAGCCTAAGGTGTGATGAAATAAAAACGACTATTGTTTCTGTCATAAAATGAGTACAAAAGGTACTTTTGAGAGCTGTTTTTCAAGTCCTGTCATGCCTGTTTCAACCCGAACGAAACAAAACACAGTAAATCGTGACTTAATAAACAGGACTCCCGATGCAGAGTAGCATAAACGAGTCCTGTTTATTACGTCATGATTTACTGGTTTTGTTTGCTGCCCGCAACAACGACTTTTACACAAATTGCTCGTTCGGGTCGAAACAGGACCTGAAAATTAGCTCTCAAAAGTACCTTTTGTACTCATTTCATGACAGAAACAATAGTCGTTTTTATTTCATCACACCTTAGGCTACATATACCCCAAAAATGACGAAAATGTCTTCCAGCATTCCACAACCTCTTTAAACGCAAAGCCAAAGCCTTAGACTGTTCACTTTTTGCCGTAATTTCGCGCGCCCTTCGGTCCTGACAGTGGTCTTGGTGAGAGAGTTCCAAAGTTGTGTATACTAGCGTGTGAATGATTACAGGTGATTTGGAGTTCGGAACACCACTTCATTGGGTGTGAGTTTGTTTCTGCATTCAATAGGGGACGTTGAACAATAGAGGACAAAAGGGTCCCCTATTCCCGAGAGGTCCCCAATTTGGATTCGTGTACAAAACATATGGGAGGTCTTCCTAAAAAGTTGGAGTACAAACAAAAGAGGGACAATAGGGGGTCCACGATTGCAGGTGAATACCAAGCATGCAACTTTTCCTCGATCCGCTGATTTCCTCGTTTTTTAATTCTCATGACTGCCATTACAAATTGAAAAACACTGTACAGGGGTAATAATAATAATGTAAGTGGCTTTGATCTTAGTTAAAAGTGCTGTATAAAAATCTGTTATTATGAATGCGTGAAATACACACTTGTGTGTGCGTGTTGTGTATACGTGTCAACCTTAAATATTGTTTTCTTTTAATTATATAAAGTAAAATTAAATATTTTTTTATTAAAATGATTATTTCAGTTGTGCAGTTAGAAACACACAGGGCTAAGTATCATGTTTCTGAACATGCCAAACTGAACAATTGAGTTTGGTTCTGTTTGGTTCGGAAGTCCTATGTTTAAGCGAAATTTTGTTCGGTTCGATGGTTCGGCTGCACTAATTTACTGCAGAGCTATTAATCATAATTGAGAAGCGTTTGTCAACATTTTGATGCTTTCTTGTTACTGAGCACTACACCCTAACAATCCTGCACCCGATTTCATCAAACTCTTCGTAACTTACGATGCATCGCAGCGATGTGACGCGTCGTATCCCTACGATGCGTCGCAGCTGCGATGCGTCCTGCGATCCATTTCACTAAACACGTCGTAAGTGCGACACGTCGTAAGAGCGACGCGTCATAGGTGTATTTATAGCACAACTCGATGACTGTTTTATGTCTTTAGTCAGCGTACAGTAAATAGTCGTCTGATATTCAACAAAGAGTTGTCGGATCTCAGCTCGAATTTGTTAAAACGTAAAACAAAATGGCGGCCGTGCGATGCAATTTTGAAGGAAAACAAGCTCTCATTGGACTGTATAGCTTCTTTGAAATTTCAACTCTAATATTCCGGTCTAATTCATAATTATTCAATGAATATTCTATTTACAACTTAACACACATTGCCTCGGTATTATAATCTCGTTAATGTAATGTTTGTGGCATAAAACTGGCTTAGAAATTACTCTTCTTTTTTTGCGACGACCAATAGACACGTCGTAACTCGAGTTGCGACGCGTCGCAGCGCTTCGTGAAATCGGGTGCTGAATCCTCTGATTTTCATATGATTTTCACACGTCCATGGGTGTAAGGGCTTATAAACTGAAGGAAGGCTAACAATTCATGGATACACCAATGATCAGCTTATGTACCCTGGCACAACGAGTTTCTTGTATGATGACGACCTCTGCATCGCCACCCAGGCCCAAAGCTTTGTGGTGATACAGAACAGTCTCTCACCTGTGCACTGACTGGCTGCTATGCAACCAACCACCTGCTAGCCAACCCAGAGAAAACACAAGGTAGTGCATGTCACTTAAAGAGGAGGGATTCACAGAGATAACTTAATGCCCACTGTTATGGCAGGAAACTGTCTCACATCTCAAAGCCAGTGTACCTTGGAGTTACTCTAGACCAGTAAAGACCATGTCAGAAACCTGCCACCTGGAGCTACTGAGCCATAGTCAAGGATGGCTCTGTCTCATCCGGCATTATGGGTTGGAGTTAGATGCAAAGTCTTAATGCAGAAGTGGAGATACGACAATGATATTCATATGACCTTTATGACTGTAGAGTTGCCCCTCAGACAATGGAACATCACCTTATCTGCCCTCTACTGACAGAGTCCTGCAAGCAAGAGGATCTAGAGTGCTACATTCAATGTGCCAGAGCCTGGGTAAGGCATAATGTAGCGACTCAACAACAACAACAACAACAATAACAACAAGTCCAGCATTTATCTGTCAAGGACCAAAGCTGAGTATGGTGAACAGATTCACCTTTCTTGGCAGCATGCAGTTCCAGATTATGATGATGATAAACTGCCATTGATGAAGCCAACTCCAGAGTCTAAAATGTCTGTGACCCTCTAGCTTACAGCACACCACTGTCATAATTGGAAGTTGTATAAGTTTTCAGACAGAGCTTGAGGTGTACGGGACAAAGAAGAAGTTGTTTGATACAGTTGGATTCATCAGTCTTCGTACTTCAACTGCTTATTGTGAAAAATTTCGCCCAGCTTCCATTGAAATATGGATGGTGTATTAAAGTTAACTTAGTATGTACAGATGCACAATTGAAGTCTGAACATTCTTCTTGATGATTGGCATGGTTTGACGCTCCATCAGAATGCACGAGATATACCAGAGCTTAGCGGTCAGAAGGCAAGTACCATTCCAGTGCCCTCTCTGCACCAGTGGGAGAGGTAAGGCTCCTGGCATTCACTCGATACTTGAACGGCACCAGTTTGTTGAGTTCCTCCCGGAAGTCACGCATCTGCAGCCCTTCACACTTCATGGCCTCTTTGAGAGACGGGATGTGGTCCAGCTCTGAAATAAGGAAGCCCCCGGCCATCATGTTTGCCCGTAGGTATGCACAAAACCAGTGAGTGTTGTTGAAATACTCAATCTGGTTGCTGATAGCCATCGGACTGGAGAGCGCCTTCCCTGTGTCATCTTTGCATAGCTGCATCGTTGTCTTGGTGGAGTCGTTGATATCTCTCCCCGAACGTTCATCCCACACGTTTGCCTCTGGCATGTATAGGATCCAATTCATAGTCTCGGTAACTAGCGTGGCATTCTTATTGTTTGGATTCATCAGTGGCCTGAGAGTTTGGAGAAGCTTGCGGAAGCCCACATAGTCGGCCAGGTTGGATGTGAAGATGCGGTCAAACTTGGCCATTTTCTGAGCCAGGTGATGACGTGGGATTTCAAGGCAGCTAGAAACCAGCATGTGTATGTGGAGCCTATCCTGGGCTAGGAGGGTTGAAGTTTTCTGCAGCTGCTTCTCCACATATTTGTGGTACATGACGGTGGGAGTAGAAATTGTTTCACCTGCAGACCCCTGCACTTGCAGGCTGTCCCAAGCTGTGAATGGAGTGAGATTGCGTTGGATGCAGTACACAAAATCGTCAGTGGCTTCCATATATCCGCCTACAATTTGTTGTCTTCTTCCTGTGACGGTTGGGTTGTCAAATGGCAGACTTCTAACCGAGCTGTCTTGAGCAAGAAATAGGCCACGCTGGAACCACGTCTTTAAGTTCTTGGCTTCCTTAGGTGAGAGCCTTTCATAGTAGAGCTGTAATTCATGGCTGAAGAAGAAATTCTCTGCAAAGACAGCCTGTCTTTGCTTTGAAAGGTTCACCGAGGAGCTTTTGATGCGTTCGCACTCGAGGGAGTACCAACCTTTCCAGACATAACGAAGTTTGGCCAGATCCTCGTCGCTGATGGACACACACCCCTTCGTGGCTACTTGAATGCTCCTGGCATCAGCTTGGATGAGTTTCCTCAGGCTTGTTTTGGTCAGGTTGTAGTCACACTTGGAGATGTGCAGAGAGTACCAGAGTGTGGCTAGGCTGGCGGCAATGCCTTCCCTGTCTTTGTGCTGAATCAGCATGTAAAGGAACAGGACATTCCTGGCCATGACATAAGGGTCCAAGTCATTGAGCACAATATGAACTTTTCCCTGGTACTCTGCAGGCAAGGAGGCAGCCGTCAGCACTGTGTGTCGCAGATCTCCACACCCTGCTGAAAGGATGTGGAAGTCACACATTGTCTCGTCTGCCCTGATTCCGTCTGCCCATTCATTCTGCCCAAGCTGAAGGAAATCGCATGCCATCGTGTTGCCAAAGTAATAAGGGGGATCTAGGAATGTCTCCCGTGTGTGGGTAACATCTCGTTTTGCAAGATCAGTATACTTATTAGTCAGTTCAAGAGAAAGACCAGCAATCATTGCTTGGATGTCTTGGCATACCTCTTTATGGGCTGCCCAGCTCTTCCGTTGGCATGTGCCATTGCAGTACCATGCGTTGTTGCATCCTGCGCACTGGGAAGATACAGCAAACATAGTGTAATTTAGAGTCTGTCAGTTTTATGCTTATGCTCCAAAAAGTCCATCGAATAATATATAAACAATTTATGTATTTTTTGTGCGTGCACCTGATCAACGCTTCAAAACAGCTTGACAACTAAAGCATAACAATGAAAAATTAATGATACTACAAAGTTGCTGTGTTTCTGTTCATTCTGATTTTGGTTAGTGGGTCTTAATTTATAGCAGTGCTTAAAATTAACCATTTAGTTCACGCTGGAGGCCGTGTATACATGCAAAAGTTTTGCGGTATTCGGAACGGATGACAGATTTAACACGCAAGGAGCAAGGCCGGAAATATCTGTCAGCAACCCGCTCCCAACGAGCGAGGCAGGAAATATGAGTTTGCTGCCCGAGGGTGATGGCTTCAACCCGCCTTGCTTGAGGTCGAGTGAAAAGTAATCCCGCGCCTCGTTTCTTTTTTGTCAAAATAATCCCGGCGTGAACTGGTTAAATTGTACGTTTATGTGAGGATTTGCCAGAAAGATAAACATTCCAAATCAGAAAGAAAATACTAATCACAGCCTTTCAATGTTAAACATTCCATTTTTGTCCCAAGCCTAAAAAGCATTTAATGTATTTTCATATTCCCCACCCCCCCCCCCCAGATTCACGTAATTTCTTTGAAAACCCCAACATGGATAATGCAGAATGAATACCATTTTGATACATCTACAGTCCACATATTCACTTTTTCCTGGTTTACGTGATCAAGTCAACTGACCTGTTTCATTTCCCCCGTTTTCTTGCAATAACTGCAACTTTTGGGCCCAAACATCTGGCACTCCACGGCGCCATGCCTGACCCTGTCTTGCTCTTGGCACTGATCACTGCAGTACTTGGCCTGTGGGCAACGATCACATGTCACCGGACCCTCTGGCAGGGGTTTCATACAGCGCCAGCAGTTTCCTGGTGTGACATCCATAGTTTCCACCAGTCAAGCTGTAAATTTTCAAAATTTGAGTTGTTTCAGAAAGAAAGACAAAGAGTTTAAAAGTTGGTCATTCTATAAATTTGGGGTCCACATTTCTTCCTGTCCCTGTTACATCTGACATCTATGATTTTGTAAATTTTCTGGATGCACTCCCTGATGCCTTCTTCCTCAAAGAGTGATTATGTGAAGCAGTCCTTCTGTTTTGAAAATCACAGGCGTGTTGAAAACGGTGGACATTTTCTAGGCGTGTGATTTTTCTACATACAGGTGTGTGATTTTTCTAGGCATGTGATTTTTCTAGGCGTGTGATTTTTCTAGGCGTGTGAGTTTTCTAGGTGTGTGATTTTCTTCTAGGCGTGTGATATTTCTAGGCGTGTGATTTTTCTAGGCGTGTGATTTTTCTAGGCGTGTGATTTTTCTAGGCGTGTGATTTTTCTAGGCGTGTGATTTTTCTAGGCGTGTGATTTTTCTAGGCGTGTGATTCTTCTAGGTGTGTCATTTTTCTAGGCGTGTCATTTTTCTAGGCGTGTCATTTTTCTAGGCGTGTGATTCTGTGCTCCAAGCTGGGACTGAACAATCTGGTATATTTTTTACAAGCTGATTTACCCGATCATACCGGTAGATCGGGTATATAGGGCGTAGTGTTGGGGATGAAAATGTGGGCAGTTAAATGTAAATGGGGGATCATTGAGGAGACATGCAGTTATAGAAAAACAATTTTTGTGGTGTGATCTGAGGCAATTTCTGACCACTGAAACCAATTTGAGCAAAAGATCATCTTTTAAACATCATTTTTGAGCTTGGGGTAATTGAATCAGCTACACGGTATTCTGAGCAATAGAATCATTATAGTAGGCTACAATTTTTATTCGGGGAAGAAAAAGTGTGGGGGGGGGGACCAAACAATGTGCCCGCTTTAAAATGTGGGGGGGGGGGGGGGGGGGGGGTCCCCGGTTCCCCACCGATTTACGCACATGATAATTATGTACCCTGATAACTGTCTGTAAATGTTCCCGTTGGTCTGTTAAATTGGCATTTTGTGAGGCAGTGGCATTGCCGGGAGAACGTAGTGAAAAGGTTACCGTAGTACACAGGCGAAGGCTGATTGTACAGTGTTGACACTAAATCATAATGTAATCAAACGTGAAGTTGTCATTTGCAATGGAAATGTTGAGTGTTACCATCAACTTACAAATGGTGTGAATGATGGAGGAAGGTCATAATTAAGTTTCAGTATTGGACTCTTCAACAAACGTAAACTTGAACTTCTTACAATTTGCGAGACCGTCTGCGAGGAAAACGTCGATTCAACTTTTATTCAAGTTGGTCAATCATCTATATAAGAGCAAGTTTTACTCGGCCTCCGAGACGATGTTCGCTCCTGAAAGGTTCCGAGACCGCGGTCTCCCGCGACGCCAAAATGGCTCCATGTCCATAGAAAATACGGAGAATTTCTTCCGCCAAATCAAGCACTTCAGGTCGTCCTAATTTTTCGTACGGACCGGCGATCCGTTTTGTCGATTTTTTTGTGACTGCGTTCAAGATCGCAATATTTGAAGCAATGCATCGACCCTTCGTTGATCCCAAACAGGCCCCCGAAATTATAACGCGACACTGACTGTGACGTGCAGCGAACTCACAACGCTCAGCCTTGGTGGAAGCATAGAGCTAGTGGAAGCATGGAGCTGTAAACACATTATGGAAGCAACAGCACTCTATCACGCGACGTCACATGCTTGCGCTTCAAATAGCGAGCACCGTAGACTCAACCTCGTTTCCATGGTGTGGAGCAGGCTGCAGTACGCATTGCCAGTGACGGTTTTACGCATAGCCCGGAAGTACTACGCAGTGTAGACTTTCGATTGGTCGGACCGCGGCAAGGCATACTAATGTGTAGTCCTTCTGGGTATTCGTTGCACTCGGCGCAGGGGCGGCAAGCGAAGCATATGAAAGAATAGGGACACTTGGTGGCCACGCACCATGGAGAAAAAATATTTTACCAAGGTCACCACATACTAACGTTTGGTGAACGCTTTTGCAGAAGGGCCGAGTAGAACACGTAAACGAAACCCCTACGTTGACCTCGCTGACCTTGCACAGTCTAGACTCGCAGAAAAGCCAGCACAGGGGGCGGCCAGGCAGTCAACGTGAAAGCGCACACGACGGCAAATTCCTGTGCAAAACGCAGTCACGAAAAATCGACGAAACGGATCGCCAGTCCGTACGGGAAACTTAGGACGACCCGAAGCGTCCGACCCGGCGGAAGACACCCTCCGCATTTTTCCACGGACGTGGAGCGATTTTGAGACCGCGGGAGCCCGCGGTCTCGGATCCTTTCAGGAGCAAACATCGTCTCGGGGGCGAGTAAACTTCTCTCTTATATATATAGATTATATTCATCTTGGTTTACAATAAATCCGTTTTCTCTTCACCGATGTAGTTTTTTTCTCACAAATGATGAAGTATAATTATGCCGTAAATGTATGCCGAGGTGTGCCGTACAGAGGGGATTCAGACGTGCGATTATTCGCCTTTATCTGGAAGCTTTTAGGCGTGTGATGGCGTGGAGGTGCAATCGCACGCCTCAAATCAGAAGGACTGTTGACACAAAAGAACCACTCAACAAATAATAAGTAGTATGAACTCATTTTTAAACACTTGGATGGCAAAGTACAAAGTTCATAGGCAACACGGACAGAAAAGGACCAAGTTTTTTTCCCAGATATATTCCATGCAAGCTTACCAATTGGTGACTGACTTAAACTTGGTTGATTTTTTCTTTAATGCCTATACGCATTATCCCAGAATCACACAAAACCCCATTTATTTCCCAGTGTCAAATATATATTGTGCTTACATGTACATTTTGAATATCAAGATATGACCCTGTTATAAAAAAAAAGAACACAGAAATGACTTCTTTTTTTCCAAATCTCAGTTTTGTCATTTTTTTCCTTATAAAAAATAACCCTTTGCTTTGTTTTTGATACGACACGACACTTTCCTTGGAAAGTGGTCAAAAGGGACCTTTTTGGATCTGTACTATGCTGGCCATTGAGTGAAACTTACATGTATGTATATACACATGTATCTTGATAGACTTTACCCAACGATAGATAGAGAAACAGTTCTTTAAAGAGGTTGTGGAATGCTCGAAGACATTTCCGTCATTTTTCGGGTATTATGTAGCCTAAGGTGTGATGAAATAAAAACGACTATTGTTTCTGTCATAAAATGAGTACAAAAGGTACTTTTGAGAGCTGTTTTTCAAGTCCTGTCATGTCTGTTTCGACCCGAACGTGCAATTTATGTAAAAGTCGTCGTTGCGGGCAGCGAACAAAACACAGTAAATCGTGACGTAATAAACAGGACTCCCGATGCAGAGTAGCACAAACGAGTCCTGTTTATTACGTCACGATTTACTGTGTTTTGTTTGCTGCCCGCAACGACGACTTTTACACAAATTGCACGTTCGGGTCGAAACAGGACCTGAAAAATAGCTCTCAAAAGTACACTGTACCCTTTGTATTCATTTCATGACAGAAACAATAGTCGTTTTTATTTCATCACACCTTAGGCTACATATACCCAAAAAATGACGGAAATGTCTTCGAGCATTCCACAACCTCTTTAAACTGTAATAGTGCTATAGGCCTATAACCTGCTACAACTAATATATTAAAACTCTAACCGCCCCCAATATGCTACAAAACACTACTGAGGAGTAACCTGTAGTATGAATTTCTTTGACGAATGACGACTTTTACACAAATTGCACGTTCGGGTCGAAACAGGACCTGAAAAATAGCTCTCAAAAGTACACTGTACCCTTTGTATTCATTTCATGACAGAAACAATAGTCGTTTTTATTTCATCACACCTTAGGCTACATATACCCAAAAAATGACGGAAATGTCTTCGAGCATTCCACAACCTCTTTAAACTGTAATAGTGCTATAGGCCTATAACCTGCTACAACTAATATATTAAAACTCTAACCGCCCCCAATATGCTACAAAACACTACTGAGGAGTAACCTGTAGTATGAATTTCTTTGACGAATGACGACTTTTACACAAATTGCACGTTCGGGTCGAAACAGGACCTGAAAAATAGCTCTCAAAAGTACACTGTACCCTTTGTATTCATTTCATGACAAAAACAATAGTCGTTTTTATTTCATCACACCTTAGGCTACATATACCCAAAAAATGACGGAAATGTCTTCGAGCATTCCACAACCTCTTTAAACTGTAATAGTGCTATAGGCCTATAACCTGCTACAACTAATATATTAAAACTCTAACCGCCCCCAATATGCTACAAAACACTACTGAGGAGTAACCTGTAGTATGAATTTCTTTCCATACAAGTGTGCACAACACATGTAGTATTCTGTGGTATTTGGTACTTGACCCCCAAACAGCCCTTTGAGGGTTAGGGTTAAAGGGAATTTGCAAACATCAAAAAACAAAAGTACCAAATTATTATGAAATACCTTTCTGGACTGTTAGTGCATGCATGACAGTCTAAAGCATCCTGTAAAATCATGGCTTCTGGTGTGCTGTCATTTTTAAGATAAGTGGTATTTTTGTATCAATTTCCAATGCTGCTCGGCCGACAGCGTTCAGCGTTGGAAAAAACTGGCTTTTTTTTAATAACTGCCCCTGAATTACAATATTTAGTTAGTCCGCATTTTGTTTGCAATCAATTACACACCTATGAACAGGTACAAGCCAGCTAGACTGGTTCCCTGACCTTACAATTCCCTGACGTCTATAAATTGCTCAATTTCATCTTAAGTGGGGTCAAGGGAACCAGGCTACAGGAACATGTTGTTTTTCTTGGTTTTTCCAGCATCCACCATGTTTATACACAAACAAGTCAGTGTGACAACATTTGCTATAAAATACTAACCCCCAAATCCATCCATTTCTTAAAATTACAGTAAAAGCAAATGTTGTATATTCCCTTTAATGAAGCAGAAATTCTCGTTGGAAGTTGAGTGTTAGTGATTGATGATCAAAGGACAGATAGCCAAAAGAAAGCCCACCTATTACCTTACTTTGTGCACACTGTTGCCAAAAGTTTGAAGTGCCATTTTCTGTAGATTTGGCATTTACTCACCTTGAATATTTGAATCTTTGACAGCCTTCCAGCTAGAACACACCTCGCATGTACTTGTATTAAACTGCAGCTACTTATCAAACATGTGTCAAAGGTTTAAGCAGCAGGAAGAACTTACACATTGATTGCTTCACAGACCAGTTCCTTGATGAATACGATTTTTTTTCACTATAGCAGCTTCAACCAATGTCTATTTATAGCTTGGGACATGTATTTCCATAGAGCTGTATAATACAGCTCTATGTGTATTTCTCATCCAAAATAAACAAGCAGTCATGACAAATGTCTATTTATAGCACGGTATTGCTCATCCAAAAAAATTCCAGTCATGAGAAATACCTGTTAAAGGGAATATTTCATTTGCTTTTGCTGTATAGGCCTAATTTTCAGAAGTGGATGGATTTTGGGGGTTAGTATGTTAGTTTTGTGTTTGTACTATGCTGGAAAAAACAAGAAATGCAATCAAGTTACTGTAGTCTGGTTCCCTGACCCCACTTAGGATGAAACAGAGCAATTTATAGACAACAGGGAATTGTAAGGTCAGGGAACCAGTCTAACATAGGTGTGTAATCGATTGCAAACAAAATGCGGACTAACTAAATATGGTAAATTGGGGGCAGTATTTGAACAAAAGCCTGTTTTTTTCCAATGCTGGTTGACCGACCATCGTTGGAAATTTATACAAAAATACCACTTTTATTAAAAATGACAGCACACCAGGTGCCATGATTTTACAGGCTGCCCTAGACTGTCATTCACTAACATTCCAGTAAGGTATTTTGTGATAATTTGGTAGTTTTGTTTTTTGATGTTTGCAAATGTTGTATATTCCCTTTAAATATGAATGTGCTTTGCCCTTTTCAGCGTACTGGAATTTGTGTGTGTGAGGCTGGTGTGTGTGTAACCTGGACAATTGACTCACTGTGGGGAACTCGCACTAAAACTACTACAACTAAACTAAACTCAGGATCTTGAAAGGAAAAGGCGCGAGGAAATTGAATTAATAGAGACAAGAGACACAATTCTAGATTTCAATCCAAAAAGGACCAAAAAGAATTTATTTACAAAAACCTTAAACCAAAAACCAGAAACTAAGCAAAGAATAAATAACCTAAAACAAACAATAAAACAAGGACTTAAACCAAAAAACTAAAACCCTAAAACCAACACAGTGTGAAAATAATAAGTGGACCTTAAGGCCCCCCAAAAAAAGTCTCCGGTTTCTGGTATGGAGCTTGCCCAAAAAGTGGTGCGGCGACGCGGCTTTTTTTTTTTTACCTGATTTTTTTTGCTTCAAATGTTGGCTGATGACTGCAAATGGTGCCCGACTAAACTTAGTGCAAATATATGGGAGTCCAGAGAGGCCACATAAAGCTTACTCTCGACCATAACCCAATCTAAAAACACGTTAAAATTGTGCAGCAGCAGGATTCCAGTCAAACCAGTGAGTTTGGCGGTTTTGAGACGTCATCTTGTATTGAAAAAAAACCTTTTCATTTTGCCGACGGGCATGGCTACGGCGACGCGCGCGCATACCAGAAACCGGAGACTTTTTTTTTTTGGCCTAAAGAACACTCAGGCAGAAAATCTGTAACTCGACTAGCAGAAAAACACTCACACTGGGCAAAGCGCACCTAAGAAAAATCAAGAGGAAAGAGAGGCTCAAAAATATAGTGTTCTCTCCACTGCCGCTGGTCTGCTTCTGAGGGGTGTTTGGTCTTACAGGGTGGCAGGGCACATGGTCTTGGGGGAAGGGGACCAATGGCATGAGTTCAATTTACATACAATACGAAATTGTTACTGGGGAAAGTTCATCAGGGGGAAGCACTACTCTGATAGTGTTGGGGATCGACATTTAATAAAAACACTGGATTTCCTTGGGGGGGGGGGTACTCCTATACTAAAGCACTACAAAAATACATTGAAAATATTCAAATTAAATTTGGCCCAGCCACATTTGCAATGACATGGAAAGGTGGTTACGTTTTTGCTTCCCCCCCCCCCTCTCAAAATTTTGATCTTGTGGCACATATGTTCATGGGTGCCATTTAATTATGCGCATGCGCGACATATTGCCACCGAAAGGTTAATTTATTTTTCGCGTGATTCTGTGGGTCAGAATGGGATTGATGTTTTCGTTTTCAAATTGTGACAATATGTTAATAAGGAATCTTCAATATTTATGCATTAAATGAAATGTTAAGAACTATTTTAATGCTATTATTATTACAATGTTTTCGTCGTCATCGGCTTGGCGTTGTCTGCTATAGAAAAACAAGCATTGTCATCTAGCTAGGAAGCCGTCTACACATATGCGCATGTTGAAAATATTTAATGCTCATTGGCTGAATGGGACACAAACATACGTGGTCCATACAAGATCAAAATGCCCTAATAGCATTGGCAAAAGCAAACGCTAATGTCCTATTTTGTGTCGATTTTTCATGGCTTTTTTTTCTTCTCAAGACAGACTTTCAGAACTTAAGTCTTTGCTTTATTTTTTCAGAGCCCTTTGAAATAAAACTTTTAGTCCAATAGAATGTGTACTTTGGTCACTTCAAAAGGTCTCATTTTAAGTTTGGTTCAAAGACCAACCCACGTAGTACAGTTATGCTACAAACAGTTGTCACTCCTGCCAATATCACACAGGGTTGGCTAATTTAAATCTCTGATTTAAAACGCGATTTAAATAGTAGTAGTAGAAACAATTTTTTCAATGTTGCCATTTCCACACTATAAAATGTTACAATGCCGTGTAAGTACCTGTATACAGAGCAGAATGCAATGAATTATGTAATGGTGTATAGTAATGTACATGGATCTATAGAACAAATGTACGACAACATTTAGGTATAAGGTGAAGCGTCACGCTTTTGTACCCTTATCTATCAACAGACCAGTGGACATGACCGAGATTTTTTTTAATGTATTTACCCCCCCCCCCAATATTTTGTAAAGACTGCCTTTTTCCATTCAAATGCCCTTGTCTTTTTCCATTCAAATGCCCTTTTTTCCCCCCTCAATAATTTGTAAAGAGTGCCCGTTTTTTGTTTTAGGTGCCTTTTTTGACAAGAAGTGTTGCCCTTTTTTGTTGCTTCTGCCGTTTTTGGTGCCTTTTTCTGAATTTGGCACATGTATCACCCTAAAAAGCTCCATATGTCTACCTGTCTACATTTTCACCACGAATGTGCAAGTGCCCTTTTCAAAAAATTGTACCCCCCAATAAAAAGGACCGTGCTACACCACTGGAATCAACTGTGCTGGTGTAGGCTGACCTGAACCATCAACAGGTGTATTAAGTCCCAATTGATAGTCTTACCCCTAACATTTCTCCAAAACAATTTAGATTTAATGCCATATAATGCCTTTTAAAGGTGTAGGCCTGATTTCTGTTCTGCACCTTGTATGAAGGACCATCAATCAAACACTATAAGTTACACAAGGATCAGTGCGGTTTTTTTTTTTTTTAAACCTGATTTTTTTGCTTCAAATGTCGGCTGATGACTGCAAATGGTGCCCGACTAAACTTAGTGCAAATATATGGGAGTCCAGAGAGGCCACATAAAGCTTATTCTCGACCATAACCCAATCTAAAAACGCGTTAAAATTGTGCAGCAGCAGGATTCCAGTCAAACCAGTGAGTTTGGCGGTTTTGAGACATCATCTTTCATTGAAAAAAAAAACTTTTTCATTTTGCCGACGCGCATGGCTACGGCGACGCGCGCGCATACCAGAAACCGGAGACTTTTTTTTTTGGCCTTATGGAGTACCGAAGTGAATACGTCACGTGCACAAATGTGTGAGAAAGACATTAACGCGGGATTCAGCCCAAAGAACCAATAAGCGGGCGTACTCCATTCGTTTGTGCTACACTTTCTGGTTCTAAATGGCGTCACTCTTCGGTACTCCTTAGGAACCTGTTTAAACTCCTTAGTGATGGGTGTAAGGGTGCATGGGGAGATAAAGACACATTATTAGACATATCAATACCCCTGGTACTTTGAAAGTTCAATTTTTTTTTTTAAAAGGTCTAAATTTAAATTTAAATTTTAAAAAATCTGATTTAAATCAAATAAATCCGTAAAATGAGTATGTACATGTACACATGCACGATCAAAGTCTGAATGTTCTTCTTGACGATTGGCATGGTTTGACGCTCCATCAGAATGCGCGAGATATACCACAGCTTAGCGGTCAGAAGGCAAGTACCATTCCAGTGCCCTCTCTTGACCAGACGGAGAGGTAAGGCTCCTGGCATTCACTCGCTTCTTGAACGGCACCAGTTTGTTGAGTTCCTCCCGGAAGTCACGCATCTGCAGCCCTTCACACTTCATGGCCTCCTTGAGAGATGGGATGTGGTCCAGCTCTGGGATATGGAAGCCCCCGGCCATCATGTTTGCACGTAGGTATGCACAAAACCAGTGAGTGTTGTTGAAATACTCTATGCGGTATCTGATGGCCTCTGGACAGGACAGCTCCTTCCCCGTGTCATCTTTGCATAGCTGCATCGTTGTCTTGATGGAATTGTTGATATCTCTCCCAGTGCGTCTATCCCATCCGCTTGCCTCTGGCATCCATATGATCCAACTCGTAATCTCGGTAACTAGCGTGGCATTCTTATTGTTTGGATTCAGCAGTGGCCCGAGAGTTTGGAGAAGCTTGCGGAATTCGAAAAAGTCAGCCAGGTTGGCTGTGAAGATGCGGTCAAATTTGGCCATTTTCAGAGCCTGGTGATCATGTGGGATTTCAAAGCAGCAGGAAACCAGCATGTGTATGTGGAGCCTACCTTGGCTTAAGAGGGTTGATGTTTTCTGAAGCTGCTGTGCCACATATTTGTGGTACATGACGGTGGCAGAAGTTGTTTCACCTGCACTACACTCCTGCACTTGCAGGCTGTCCCAAGCTTTGAAAGGTGTGTTACTGTTATGAATACAGTACACAAAATTCTCAGTGACTAACAAATGTCCATCTATATTTTGACGTATTCTTGCTGTGAGAGTTGGGTTGTCAAATGGCAGACTTCCAATCGGGGTGTCTTGAGCAAGAAATAGGCCATGTTGGAACCACGTCTTTAAGCTCTCGGCTTCCTTAGGTGAGAGCCTTTCAAAGTAGATCTTTAATTCATG